ATTGGTGAGATAAGTTCAAATTGCAGATGAGACAGTTTACTTTACCTTTGAAAAAAACAAAAACACAACCTGAATCTCCTTTTGCTGTGCTCTGCCCCATTGCCAAATTTTTTACGATATTCTATTTCTATTATGGTTAGTAGAGAAGACAATGAGCACTTGGACCAACCATTTCATTTTGGGTATCTTACAGGTCCAGGCAGTAGCAGCAAAAACCTGTCAGTCCTATTTACAACCCTTACATCATCCAATAAATAAAAAAAAAATGAAGATTAAAATCTAGTGGGAAGTGTAAAGGAAGTTTTGATATTTGGTCATTGACAGGTAATAACTTTGTTCCAGAAAGAGGCTTATCATGAAATTGATGAAACTGCTAAAGTGCTGAAAATAGAAGTCATAAAATGTGAAATCTGACAATATTTTGTGCATACAAAGTTTTATAATTGTGTTTCACTGATTCAACTCTTAAGCTTAAAAGTCCAGAACATAGTCTCTTTTATTGCTCCTTGTAATTGATGTGTAAATATAGTGTTTAATACCATAATAGTTTAAAATGCAGTGGCTAAAGAAATGAGTTATTCTCTCAAATTGTGATGAAAGAATTGATCTGATAAATGTTACAAAATTGTTATATTAAAATTATAATTATTACCATATATTTTGGCAGATAAGACAAAGTTTAAATGTTAAAAAATACTCCCAAAATTAGGGGGTCGTTTAATACAACAGAAACAAAAAGCTAACCTTAAATCATGTGGTGTATCAGCAAATATGCTTGCACCATGGAATGAGTTGTAAGAATGAAATTGTTATTTTCATAAAGATTCATGTTAATACTTTATAATATTTTATTCCTTTTGATTTGATAACAATAAAAGTAAACAAAACAACATTTGTAATAACATCAGCTTTCTGTTATACTTGTAGAAATCATTATGATAGTCCTGTTACTGTCTGCATAGAAGTGCTCACCATAAATAGGCTAGCCTATGTTTTCAGTTGTCTTATACAATGGATATCAGATAACGTCACAAAAATTCACCTAGATTTTGAGTCTTGTAAATCTGTAAGTTGCCTTATATATGGAAATATATGGTATATAAGTAATGTAGCTTTCTTGTGCCTTTTCTAGAAATATTTTCATAGTAACTGTTCTGATGAGTTTTTTTGCTACTTAGACTTTATGAATTTAAGTGCAGTATTAGATTGGTGGCAAGTTCCCATCATTTTAGATTTGAAATGGCAGCTAGATATAACTGTATGTTCCGTGTTAATGGTTTCTTCTTTTGCACTTCTCGCTTGTGAAATGTTCTTCCAGTTTTTGGCTTTCCAGTCAACTTTGATCTTCAAAAATGTAAATGCAATGTCAATCTCTATTGTCTTAATTACAGTTCTTTTATTGGTTTCTCTCCTTAATAATTTTATGTTTTCTTCTTATTCTCTCACATTCAGTCTTGGTTGCTTTGTTGCTTTGCTTCGGATGAAATGATTAAAAAAAATAAGTAATAGATACAAATTCACTAATTTATTTTTTTCTATTTTGATATATCTGTTCTTTTGCTTGTACTTTCTTTAACTTCTGTGTTATCAGATACACAGTCTTTGAAATCAGTTAGAATTGACTAAAACTTCAATATTTATGAATAGCACAATCAATTATGTGCATTTGTTTTCCTATACAAAGCAAAAAATTGATCCCAAATCAATTTATTTCTTAAACTGAAACAATAAGAGCAGTAATTAGAGACTTGATTATCATTTCTTAACTTAATTTTTAATGTCAATAAAAATATCTCTGCACAATTTGTGTATTAACCCCTAAATGGATTATCCCATGTCTTTCACCGATAAGTAGATTATCCTAAGTATAGATTTTATTCTTTACCGAACATCAACAAAATAGACACGTACCTAATAAAATGTTGTTTCTCTGTTTGCCTAAATAATGGCAGCTACAAAATATGATATGGAATTTATACTAGAATCATTGTGCAGTGTATATTGCCTAAGTCTGTTTTGTTTATTTGTTTAGTGACACATCAACTCCTTTTGGGTGATTTATTGCCAAAATTTAATTTTCTTAGGAGCATTAGTAATTTCTTTTTCAAAAATGTATTGCTTGCAATTTTTCTTTTACAAAAATGTATTACTGGTAATACCCTCCCCCACTTTACAAAAATGTATTGCTGGTAATAATCCCCACCACCTTACAAAAAAGTATTGCTGGTAATATTTTTTATTATGAAATTGTATTGCTGGCATCTTCACTATAAAAATGTATTTCTGCTCTTTCATAATGTTTTGACTCCAGTTTGGGATTTCACTTTTTGCCAATAGCTAGGATCCCAACTGGTGCTACCACCCTGAATCAGAGTGGACCTGGGAATAACAGCAATTAAGAGGTGGTTCCATGCTCCTCAAAACTTCTTGGTAAGATGTCTTGCTGCCAGATGTAGTTTATCATCATACCAAAGACAACCCAAGTCTGTAATTGGAGTTCATTCAACATATAGTGCCCATCTTTTCTACTGAGATTAACCAAGGGTAGGTAATCCCTCCTTTATCCCAAAAGGAAGCTGATTGATTTGTTTTTTAATAGTCATCAAGCTCTTGCAGGTTATTTAAAGCCATAATTTTTTTTTTTTTTTAGATTGTAAGAATTTTTAAAAGATAATAATGATTACTAATTAACCTACAGCTAGTGTGAGGGAGAAGTGGTGGATTCATACTATTCCCAAGAGTTTTTGCATGTGAGTGAGTATAATGAACCTGACTGGAACTCTGCTTTCTGATTTCCAATTCCAAGCTGTTATTCATTACAACACTGACCAGGCTTGACATTGCTTAGCTTTGATGACCATATGAAAAGAAGTTTTTCAATGTAATATGGCCATAGGTCCCAGAAGGAAGTAACCAAAATATCAACAAATATGCCTATTGAAGCCTGTTTTGAGGGCTATCTTTGTTTGGCGATCCCTTCCTGGGACAAACTTACCACCATTGTGGGGAACACAGAAAACGTGAAAGGATATTTTCAGTTCTAATTTTTACTTTTATATTTCACTAATTGGATCCTGTCAAGATGGATAGCATTTTTTAATTACTGGGAAGATATGATAGTTATAGGAGAGTGGTTTGTTTAATGTTCACTCTTTGTCCATCAGGCAACATAGTAAGTTATACATGAAATGGTTTATCTGATAAGCCAGAACCCAAGAGGAGTTGGATTTAACTGTAATGCTATAAAACTTTTTGTCATGGGTTGATAGTTTGTGTTGGCATTGTAGTAATCTCGACTTGATATTATTTGTTGACATTAATAACAATAATTTGTATTTTCTTTTTGTAATTTGAATTACAGAATATTGGTATTGTGTGTCTATATATAAAAAAATGTTCTCAGTGTCTCTTTTGTTTAAGGATCAGTACTTACTTGGTTTAGGTCTGAGACTTTTGTTTGTGAGGATGGTGTTTGGAAATAGTCTGTTTTCAATCTTCATAGGGCACTGGCTAGACATGTGTTTCGGTACTGCTATTTGTCTCTTATCTACTGCTACAGGTACTCTAGTCTACTGTATTGTTCTCTACTCTGCTCTCTTGTGGTGGAAGGGTCATTTTTATAATGATGAGGGTTAGGATTAATATCCTAATTTTTTTTATTATCACTGATGACAAGGTTATTTTTAGAATGATGAAATATCATTATGAACCATAACACTTTATTTTAAGGCTTTTGTCAGTTACAATTTGAACTCTGTTCACCAATTCCACTTTTATGTCATGCTTTAGAATTGAGCCAATCCTTTTTCTGGTAAATATTTGCATGTATTTTGTGTCTTCTATGACATTTACACATTATGTATGAATAAGAAGACAAGTAGTTGATCACAATTCAAGCAGTTCATATGATAATGAATAGCAGCTGGATATAACTCTGTCATTGAGAAATATTCGTGTGTTGAGTCTATTCCCTACCATATGAAAACTGTCTTCAGAAGAAACAGGTCTAACAAAAAAAAAAAAAATGGCATAAATAATTTTTTGTAAATTACCACAACCATTTCTGGAATATAAAATTTTTTTACATTTTTACTGATTTTATCTGCATATTTTTACAACACCGGTTCCATATGATCACTGAAGTTAAGCAATGTTGAACCTGGTCAGTAACTAGATGGGTGCCTACTTCAGAATACCAGATGATATAATCTTGGATGTGCAGGTTGTGTAACATATAACGGCTCAGAAATGTTAGTTGGAAAGCTGATGTCCAGTTAGGTTCATTATATTCCCTTATGTGCAAATCCCCTTGGGAAAGGTATGAATTCACTTCTTCTACCCCTAGCTATGGGTTAATTAGTAAAACTTGTATCACTAAATGATTATCTCCAAAACAAAATCTTACAATGTAAAAATATTTCCTGGCTTCAAATAACCAGCAAGTGGTTGATAAGCTGTAGAAAACAAATCAATCATATTTTTACAAGGGCTAAATTTTCACTCCCTCAATCTTCCACAAGTCTATCAGGTCCCAAAATTGCCAGATTAAAGATACAATCTGTACAGATTTTTTGTTTTAATATATTTACTGAATAACAACATTGTCATATCATATGTTGTTTTATCATATGTTGAAAAAATTCTTCAGTTTGTTCATTCTGTTTATTACTAATTTTCCTATCATTTCCCATTTTAATGAAGTTCTTTTTCTCTTCAAGTAAAAAAGTGTTTTATACTTTTATCATTTCAGACTGTAGATTGTAAGGGACATCAGCCACAGTGGCCACCCCCAAAATTACTCATCTGAGAGCTGGTCATACTCTCTGTTCTTTACAAAACAGGCAGTGGAGAACGTGACTAGCCAATTTCCTATACTGCCCTTCCTTTTTATCAAACTTGGGCAGGCAATTCTTTTTCTGATCATTGATCATATTGCTTTCATTTACCACTCCTTGGGTGGTCAACCCACTCTACACCCTCGTGGGGTGCAGAGCATTCTCATGGCAATGGCAGAATACGGGTGGGGATTATCCCATGAGCTGGTCAAAAAAGCTCGACGTGAGTTGCACGAGGTTCCTGAACAACGAGCAGACCTTCTGGATGCAGTTCGTGCCCAGATAGAGACCAGAGCAGATGTCAGTAAGTAAAATTATTTTTTTTTCTTTTTCCATAAGTTGCTTTTTTTGTCTGTGCCTCCAGTGATACACTGTTGTCTTTTTCTTCTCATATCCAATAATCCTAAGTAGTCTTTTTTTCTATTTTTTCATTTTTCCGTTTTCCTTTTTTCCATTTTCTCTTTTCTTCCTCCTCTTTTTTTTCTGTTTCTTTTTCTGTGTCCGTTCTATATTATGGAGACAGTATGTCATTTTTCAAAGACTTGAGAAAATGTAAGACAAAATTACTATAACATTACACAGAAATCTAAATCTTGATAATAACCACAAAATCTTAGTGACTACCACTAGTTTCCATTCATATGTGAACTGCTATTGACATACTTACTAATTTGTAACGTGTGTGTATATATATATATATATATATATATATATATATATATATATATATATATATTTTTTTTGTTACTTTTTATCAAAATGCCCAGGTTGCTTTTAACTGTTTCTAGGCTGGTCTTTTCACAGCAGTTAAAAACAAGGTCATAAAAATGATGAAAAACAACTTTTTCTTTAGTGAAAGCTTTCTGAATTTATTTAGTAGTTGGTAACTGTGTTTCATGGGAAAGTTTTGAGGAACAATAAAGTTTGTTTTAGTGGAAGTCACAGGAACTATTTAAGATTTATAGTTTCATTTTCAATTCTCAAAATATGTCTCAATCGACCGACAAATCATTTCTTTAACATATAAACTGAACTTTAACCTCTGACAGCACATTTACAATGCTGTTGTCAATATGTAATTTGGTGTAAAATTTATTTTTTCATCTTTTTTTCTTTTGCTTTTTTATGTCTAAAAATATGGATAACTGTAGATTCTTTTAAAATTGTGACTTTCCCATTTTATTCTACTGACATTCTGTAATAGTCATAGAGACAGTGTTGTGGCTTTTCACATAGCTGAGATTGTATATTTCTCAACAGAGACAGAAATTAGTGTTTGAAACCAGGTAAAAACCTAAGATTTCACATGTTACAATATGTGTTGTCTATGGATTAAATAGTAGACTGGGCTCTCTAGCCTTAAACTATAACTTGTCTAGGAGAAGGATAACTCCAAATTCAGAATGGTAGAGAAAGCAACAGGAAACTACCCCACCACTTTTCCCAAGATTTCATGGCAATTCAGAGAATAAAGAAATGGAATTTGTCTAGGGCAATCATTGTACGCATCCTGAAGGAATAAGTTAATTATCAGCCCAATACAATAGCTATAGAATTCCCATAATTTGAAATTGAAGATTGCATTCAGTCATAAAACATTGTCACTGCTCAATGTTGAACTCAGTATCCTCTTTTATATTTACATCTGCTCTAACCCTGATATTGAGCACTTTAACCGATAAATATAGTATACCTTAAAACTATATTTTTATCATATATATGTGTGGGTGGGTGTGTGTGTGTGTGTGTGTGGGTGTGTGTGGGTGTGTGTAATCCATAGCCCAAATAAATAGTTTAAATACCCTACAAAAAAGATAACCCTTTATGAAGTCGTCAAAAAACAAATGTTACGGCAGTTTTTTTGTTTTTTTTATATGCACAAATCCCTTTCATAAAGAAATAAAATTAAAAAAATAAATAAATCTCCATAGACACGTAAACCAGACTAGGCTAAAACATCTTCCGTTTCAAATTTAGACACCCCCACCTTACCCTGACTTGACATCTATGAAAGTAACTCTATACTGATACTTATTATTAACACCCAACACATGCCTACCCAATCTAAACAATTCGCCCTAGCTGTTACCATGGAAATTTTGATTTCAATTATTAAAACACATAAATTTCAGAAATACGTTATTCCAAAAAAAATTTGGTTGAAGATGGAACAGAGCTTACTTTAACTCAATTTAATTCAAATAATTATATTGAAGTTTTCGGCTCTTGTTTTGAAACATGAGACCTCTTATGTTGCGAGTTGGAATCATATTTTTAAATAAATAATATATATATATATATATATGTATATATATAATGTATGTGTGTAAATTGATGAATTTTTTATTGATTAATTCAACAGTACAAAAATAATGTTTAAAATGATAAAATATATCAGATTAATAAATAAAAAAATCCATCACTTCTTTAGAAATTGCTTTGTTTACATTAGGAAGCAAAACTGAACAGATATGATTGTTGCAAGAGTTTAAGAAAGATTTGCATTTATAAGGCACTATTCACTTTTGCTTGTTCGGCAATGCACTCTGTGGATGATGGGGTTTAAGTACATCAGATTTAAGAGTTTCTTCTAATCCTGCAGAGAACATATATTTTTCTTGAATATATAGATGAAAATAGATAAATATATTGTTTAATAAATAAATAGAGCATCTATTCAAATATGAGTATCCCCTAAAAATAATTTTTCACTAATAATATATATTTATATATATATATATATATATATATATATATATATAAGTGAATTCTCCTCAATGTCAATGCATGAGACCCCAACAATTCTGTTTTAGAACTGAACTACTTGACTACCCACACTTATTTGTTTATAGCAATGAAGTCATGTATAGAACCATACTGGCAAGCAAAATAGTAGACAGTATTTCACATATTCTCCAAACAGCTCTCTACAGGTTTAAATTCAGAGCTTTTCCTTCTCCTAGACTAGCTGACACCCAAGGCAAGAAAGATCAATTATACCTGCTATTTAACCTACAGCTGGAAGATGGGTTCATACATTTTCAAAGTACATTAATGCAAAGTGAATGAAACGATCGATTTTATTCTCCTATAAACTGAATGAAAAACCATCCTTTTGGTTTTAAAAATACCAAGATGGTTAAATTTAATAATCCTAAATCATCTAGAAGAATTATTGAATCAGTTACTACACAGTGCCATTCAGTTAATCAAAACATAAGTTCTTATAAATTTTTTTTTATCTATGATAATACTTGATTGATTTGTTTTCTATGACTTATCAACCCTTTTCAGGTTATTTCTTTCTTTTTTATTTTGTAAGATTTTCTTTCTTTTTTTTTTGTTGAGATAATAATGGTGATACAAGTTTTACTAATGAACTCATAGCTGGGGGGGGGAGAGGTGGATTCATACCTTTCCCAAGGATATTTGGACATAAGTGAACAATAAACCCAACAGGAATTGGAACTCAGTTCTCCAATTAAAAATTCCAAGCCATTATCCATTACACCACCTGCACAGTGAAGCTTACAGCATCTGGTATTCCCAAGCAGCCACACATCTAGTTACTGACCAGGATCAGCATTGCTTAACTTTGGTGATTATACAGGAACCAGTGTTAGCCATAAGCCTGAAGATAACACTTAAAATAAATATTAAAATAGATATTGTTTAAACATGTTATAAAATTTTATACTTTTCTTAACACCTAAATAATCATGAATTATAATTTTTATTTGTAACTACTTTTTTTTTTTGTTTGTTTTGTTTTTTCTCAATATAACTTTATTTTCCTAATTGCCATGTTTACATTTTATTTTAACATATTTCCTGTGTACAAATTCCATTGATTTGTTCATGGATATATTTTAAAATTTTATGAACTGTTAAATTTTTTTAAAGTTAATCACAGAGTTTTTAAGTCTCAGAGTTGCCACGTTAACAATTTTTCCTTAGGTTTGTTATATATGCTGTCTGACCTCTTTAGTCCACAATCTTTGGGGTCAAACCACTGCTGGACCACAGAAAAAGCTTGATGACGGAAATCATCCCCTGAAAACAAAACCCTAATGTAAACAATCTTACCAGCTCATTCCACATATATATTGCACTGTTATCAAAGATAGAACAAAACTTAAAACAGGAATGAAAACAATCATTAATACTTCAAACAAGGTTTTTATTGTTTCATGTGATACAAAAACTAAAAGCAAAAAGCCTAAATCCCCAAAATAATATATACTTAATATCCTGAATGGATAAATATGCAGCTATATATAAGAAATGAGCAAAACTGTATCATCTAAACACTCTACTACTGTGGAAAGTTGTAAACATGTGGCCCTGCCCTCATAGATGTTCAATGAACTAATGGCAAGTGATTAAAAAAAGTGCCAGACCATGAGAGTTCTCTAACCACAGAGTGCCAGATTAAAGATATAATCATGTGCATTTTTATTTGTAAATTATCACCTGAGATGAGAACTTCATGTGCAAGTGTTAGTTCCAAGATTCTATCATTCTTTTAATGCTTTTGACTTGAGTCATTCTATTAAACATTGTCTGAATTCTTTTTGTTATTACGCACAATACTAAAAAGATTCAGAAACATAATAAAAACTTTTTTCTTCTTTTTTTTTTTTTTTTTTTTTTTCAAAAAAATAATAAAAAAAATAAACATGCTACCTATCTTTGCAATATGAAAATCAATATCTTACTCTGAGGGGAAAAAATACCCACTTTCATTAAATAACTGAACTTAAATGCAGTATTATATTCTTTTCATAATTTTAGATGCAAAAAAAAAAAAACAAAATGAAACCCATTCACATTCTTATTGCATTTTGATTGGTTAATTTTCTGGTATTATTTTGGGGATTTGCCTAAATTGTCATCATATTCATATGAATAACTGAAAATAAGAAATTTTGATGTCAACAGTACATAAATTTAAATATCTTTGAACTTTTCCCTTAAGATAGTTTAATGTACTTGTAAAAGCCAAGCTGTCCAAATTTGTTCTTCCAGGATTTTATGAGGTTATTACTTGTATTTTAACCAACCATAGTGTAGATTTTATTTATTTATTTTAACTCTTTCATCCCAATCAAGGCAACAATGCCAGTAGAATGTAGAGGGTTACAAGGAGTGAAAGAGAATGAGAAGACTTAAGTGAGGAAAAGACAATAAACGGACAGGGTTCAGTTAGACAGAAGATGACAATTGACATTGCATTTAAACTTTTGAAGATTGTAGGTAGTAGAGAAGCAAAAAATTGGAAAGGCATTCCACAGATGAGAAGTGTGAGAAAAGAAACTTAGAAGTGGTAGTTGCATCAAGTTAGTTCAACAGCAAAATGGTGTGACCTAGTTGTCAGAATAGTTGCCATGAAAATATTTGTAGAAAAGACAGAGTGAAGACTTCTTTGAATTTTGGCAAGAATCTTGATATATATATATATATATATATATATTTATATACTTACAGTAAGAGCACCAGACCAGATATGGCAAAAATATTCAGTGCCTAAATGAATGGTAGATTTACAAATATGCAAGATGGATTCTCACAAGAAAAATTTTCTGGTACAACACAGTGACCCAAATTTCCTTACAGTAGATGCAGCTATTGATTCGATGTAGTTGCTCTACTTCATGTCAGTGAAAAACATTAGGCCAAGAAGGCATAGTGTTGTTTTCATGGAGTCTAGCATCAGCCATGATGATGGCAGACAGAAAAGGTTCTCTTTGATGGTTAAATGAAAGCAGTTTTGTTTTGGGGATGTTAAAATTTACAAGCCATTTCTTGCCCTAGCTAACCACTGATTGAAGGTCCTTTTTAAGAGCAATTGCCAGTTTTACTTTGTTAGGTCTGTTGAATTTGCTACTAATATGAGAGTAAATGGTTGTGTCCTAGTTGGGAGCTGATGACATTAGGGTGGTCATACTTGTAAAATCCACACTAATCATAGTATTACTATTTTTAAAACATTTCCACAAATCTTTCTTATAAGATGAATTTTTTATAAATAAATTCATGAATGAATGAATAAGTACCAACATTTTATTGAAATTTGGTAATTAGATGAGTAAGTATACCAACAGTTAACAAACAAGGTTAAGAAAAAATACTGGGCACAGATGGACCTTCATGTCTGCAATAAGACTAAGTAATAAAAGGATAATTTTTCCCATGATTCTATTATTATTTGAAGTACCTTCACTCTTCAGCAATATTTGTTGTTTTAAAAGCAATGATTAGAATTGTAATAAAACCTAAAGATATGAAAGTGAATTTTTTATATATTTTCTTTGTTCTTGAGAATTGACAACAAAAATATTAAACATTATTTATTAGATTTTTTATTTACACTATTATATTGTTTATTGGAATGGTTGGCAAAACATTGGCTAATTGCCAATTGATTCAAACTTTATAAAATGGTAAATAATAAGGAAAGTCAAAATCTGACTTTTTATGAGAAAATTTTCCTGAAAGTAGGCTCAAGAAAAATAGGGTTTTAGTTTTTTCTGATTGGTCAAATATTTCACATGTTAATTTCTAACCAATAGACACTTTGATTTAAATGGTGTTGTATTGTGAAATCTTTTTAGCGTGTTTGTAATATTGTCTGTTATTGGGTAGATAATAAAGTTGGGTGCATTTTAATATGGTGTGTATGTGAGTATGTAATTGTATTGGAAATAGCATTTAGAACCATATTTCTGTTGCTTCAAGTATCTTCTTAATCCATGAGGAGTTGTCTAGCATTCACTGCCATATAGGAGGACTGATATCACAAACAGTTCAGTATTCTCTTTGTTTCTAATGAAGTAGAATTGTATTTGCTGCATCTTATTATTGTTGCTTTAATCAAAACATATTTGATTGATAAATATTCCTTACTATGATAGCAAGTAGAATAAAGTCAGAAATAAAGAACTAGTTTGTTCAGGAGCCCATCTTTCATGGACACTGCCTTAACCAAGTCAGCCATGGAATTGCCTGTGATTAAGAGGAGCACAAATCTCTCATCCATCCTACCACCTCTTCTCTCTCATTCTCTATACTATTTTTGCTACTTTGTAATAAACAGATTATGATAATGATAACTCCCTCCCAGTCCATTGCCTGATGACTAGTCATAGTCCAACAAAAGGTACCAGGGATGAAAGCTCATTATACATGTTAATGTTGTAGTTATTGCCCTTGCCTTTTGGGTGTTATTTAGTACCACCAGGTGGTAGCTTCTATAAAATGCTTGCAGCCATATTGAAAATGTTTCATTTGTTCAGTTGTCAATATTCAGACTAACAGGAGGATTACCTTACTGTAGATGCAATTGATCCGTTGATTAACAATCAAGATTCAGATCACCTTGATTGGTCATGTCTTCAGGGTTGTAGCTATACTCACCACACTTGGTCAATTAAGGGTTGGCGAGCCTATTTAACTCATAGTTGGTTTTTTTGTCCTTCTTCTAGACCAGTTGCCACCCAAGATCAGTCTGTCCTGTTATTTACCAATAGCTTGGGGTGGGGGATGAGATGGATTTGTATCTTTCCCAAGGGTATTTGCACATAAGTGAATGTAATGAGCTCTACTGGAATTTGAATTTGGCTCTCTGATCACTCATTAATTATGCCATTGTGTTCAGCAAAGAAGTAAGAAACTTTATTTCAACTCCATTGTATTTCAAAATCTGAAAATTTTCCATCCTTCTATAACACTTTCCAGGATTTCCATTCTAATCAATGTCACATGAGTTGTCCACAATTTCTGAAAGAAATCAAACATCAAATAACTTTTTCAAATGTTTTCTTCAAGGTTCATACAATTTATTTTTGATGAAAAAAAAAAAATGTGTCAATTTTTATCTGTTTCCGATTGGCCTCATATTTATCTACCATTAACTACCTGTTATGATGTTGATTTGGGGTTAGTAGAGACAAACACCAAATAACACGTAACAATAAAAAGGGTTTTAATAGGTTGGTAAAAAGGTACAGAAATCGCCTGAGTAGTCAATAACTAGCTCAGCTAAGAACTTCTCTGTCTTCTTTTCATGTCAACTGACATGCCACTATTTAAAGTCTTTGTTCACAGACAAGTTCATCTTCAAGAGGGGTGGTAGGTTTCCAACACAACACTACCAAAGCTGGATTAAGATAGATGCATTTGTAAGAGTTCTTTCTGGTTGGAATCACAACCAACTTAAACATTTGTCAAATATAATTGTTGCTTTGGTGTTTGAAAATGAAATTTTTAACATTGAGTATGGTTTTCTAAATTCTCAAAATGCTTATCTGAGATGAAACATAAGAATGGATTTAGTTCAGATGATTATAAAATCTTTGGATGATTTCACTTTTTCTTTTCATTTCATGTCCAGATAATTGATGTCCGGGAAATCAAGGAACAGATAATTAAGGAAGTACTGTATCTAAAATAAAAGATTTTGCTTTTTATTAATTACTTTTCTAAACAGGCAAGAAATGGAAATTATTTTAATTATTTTTGAATTCATTCTAAATGAATTTTTTATTTTTCTCTTATTTTTTATTTGTCTTACAGATTTCCTGCGAACTGACGATGTGTTCATCCTCCGATTTCTGCGAGCTAGAAAATTCGATGTATCTGAAGCGTTTAAGCTGTATACGCGATATTTTGAGTACCGACAAGAGAATAGCAACTTGTTCCGCAAATTTCAAGCTGCTGAGCCAAGCATCAAAGAAGCTCTATTTGATGGACTCCCTGGGGTGTTGCCCCACCATGACCACTTTGGTCGCAAAATCCTGGTGCTCTACTCCGCCAATTGGGACAATACACGGTATGGATTGGCTGCCATTTACCGTGCTATCTTACTGACTTTAGAAAAATTGATCGATGATGAAGAGACACAGATCAATGGATTTGTGATTATTGTTGATTGGAGTCAATTTACCTTTAAACAATCAACATGGCTAAATCCAAAGATACTCAAATTAATGATTGAAGGCTTACAGGTAAGATGTTTTTGTCAAATAGTAATGATTACAGGTTAGATGATGTCTTGTGAAAGAGAAAATGATTGGATTGAAAGTGTACAGGTCAAATGAAGGCTTTTGCAAACATACAGGTTAAATTACATCTTTTTACAGAGAAAAATCTTTAATGACTGAAGGCTTACATGTCAGGCTTTCATAGGTAAAAATGATTGCCAGCATACAGTTTAGACTGTCTTTTGTCAGAGGAAATCTAAGCATATAATGAAATATTAATTCTGATTTTTGATTTTAGAGTGATTTTATCAGTCATCTGAAATCAACAACCATCATTTTATTAGTTATGTTAAAATGCTATCACTTTAAAAAAAAAAAAAACCTTGGCCATTTCTCAAGTTTTTCATTATCCTGTGATTGACCCTAAATCTCAGTCAATTAAGGGTCCCTACTTTTTGGCTAACTCTCAACTTTTTGTTGCAGCTTCTACCAAAAACAGAAAATTTTGTATTCATTCTTTTTAATTTTTCTCCTGAACACAGTAATTTAATATGAGCTGAGTGCAAAAATTATCTAGCCATTTAATATCAACAATAAAAATGCTTTACTTAGGGTAATGGTGCTTTAATTCACTTCAAAATACTTTCTTTGTGACATCACACACTTAGTTCAATGTCCTCTTCACTTTTTAAAATAGTTTAAAAAGTCCTCTTTTAAGATCACCATTAGCTACCACATTGCATTCTCCTTAATCTCAACCAATTTTACTGAACAGGACTTTTCTGATGTACTTCTCAAGCATTGCGAATATGACAGCATATGTGCTCACCCAGTGACATCTTACTACTAACTGAGTAACACCATGGAAGAGTGTCGATGTGCAGTAATATACTTTCTAGTTGCATCCAAAGCTGCACAAGCAGTTCTCAAGATATTCAAAATAGCTGGATACATTTCAGACAGGCCTCGTATTTCATTATTTGATAACAAATGCTTGAAAATTTTACATGCTTATATTCTATACAAAATTCAATAATTATTCTGTGTATGTCTTTTACTAGATCTAAAAGTGAAAATTTGGGATTAATACTAGGATTCTTTAAATGTTTCTTTTAACCATTCACCCCCAAGCGATAAAGCCACTAAGATGCAAGGGGTTACTAAGTGTTATAGAATATGAGAAAAAAGTACTATTAAAGATAGAACAATAAAAGAACAAGAATTAAGAAGATAACTATTGACATTACATTTATGTTTTTGTAGATTAAAGTTGACTGGGAGGTTGGAAGAGAGTTCCAGAATCAAGAAGTGCAATAGAAGAAACTGTTAGCATAGAACTTATGCTTACATCTAGTCGTTTCAAGTGCAAAATGATGAGACCTTTCCACCAATCTAGTACTGCACTTAAATTCATAAAGTCTAGGTACCATAGAGAAAAGTTCATCAGAACAATTACCATTTAAGTATTTCTAGAAAAGGCACAGGGAGCGCTACAGTATGGTGGTGGGAAAGAGACATCAAGGTCTCGTCATTTTATACTTGAAATGTCTTGTATCTGTCTATATTTCTGAGATGAGGTATTATGTACACCATTTACATTATTCGGACTATTGTCCTCATCTTTGTTGCCATATTTATCAGAATGTTTCGGCTGTTGTATGCTCCAGCCTTCTTTAGGTGGTTTATAAGACCCAGAAATTCATACACAGATGTCCTTAAGGACACATGGCACAGTTGATAAAGGCATTAGTTAGATCCAGTGATAGAACCCAAAGAGTTGCAAGTTCAATACCTGGTTAAGGCAGTGGAGATAACTGATAACTGACATCCATTAGACATGGCACATGGAACTAGAACAATCTACCCCAGCAAGCAAAATAAAGGGTTCAGTTTGACATTCCAACCACCTGAAGAAGGCCAGAGTGTACAACAGCTGAAACATTGTGATAAGTATGGCAACAAAGATAAGGACAATAGTCCGAATAATGTAAATAGTGTTGAAATGTTTAGATGTAACCATAAGTTTTATGCTAACATTCTCTTCTCTTGCACTTTACACTTTTGAAACTCTCTTCTGGCTTCTTGCTTTTCACTTCAAAAATTTTATTATGATTTTTATTGTATTGTTCTTACTCTTTAATGATGTTTTTTTTTTATTCTTTCACACTTAGTAACTCCATGTCTTAGTGGCTCTATTGCCTTGCTTGGAGTAAAAGAATTAAAAAAAGAAGAAAAAAGTCAAACAAGAAAATAAACAAGCAGTAACAACAAGTTCTCAAGAACCTGAATACTGCTAAGACACTTTCATGTAGTGTTTATGACAGAACATGGCTTTCAAAAATTAGATTTTGATGTCAGCAAAGAAAATACCCTGGACATCTTGCTAACATTCATCAATGATGATATCACTAAATTTTAAAATCTAACATATATAATTATTGAATTGGTCAAAAGTTTCATTTGGTTTATTGAAAAAAAAAAAAAGACATTTTTATTTTCAATATTAAATTTATTAAACCAGATATTTAACTATTTTGTCCGATCTCTGACTTCAGGCAATGTCATAAATTCATCCTCTCACAACATTTTATCTTTCTCTGATCATTTACAAAACTTTCTTCATAAAAGGCACAAATTGTTTATACATTTCAGTTGCATTTTTACCTTTCTTAAAATAATAAAAAAAAATTGTATGATAATATGGCAAAAATATTGCTTATTTTCTTCCATCTTAAATATTGTCACAATCTAATAAAAATGATTTTTTTCAGGTATTGTTAGTTCAAGCTAAAAACTCCTGATGACATATAATGACAAAAATAAAGAGACCAACTTTTTGGTTAGCTCAATATAAAGCAGTCTTATTATTCCAATATAAAATTCAAATGTTTATTTTGATGGATTCTTGTTTCCTTTTTATATAAAACACCAACTTTTAAACATTTCACTGTCATTATTAGACAAGACATGACTATTATCAAAGTATTAGACAAATTATGATTATGAAATTATTCTATTTTATATATTTGCATTTTCACAAAAAATGTCTGGGGGGTATCAGTGGAGATTGAGTGACAGTCAGTGTTTGTAAATCTCCAACACCTTTCTCTGTATCATTGCAGACCTCATCACAACTGTATTCTGGAATCTCAATTTTCTGTTGAATTTCTAATTCATCCAGTTGTGAATACAGTTTTTCTGGCACATTTCCAAGTGTACCAGTTTTTTCCAATACATCAGTCAAATAAACTGATTACTTACTATAGCATTTTGTAGTAGTAACTTGTCTCATGAATAGCATGAAATAATTCATAATATGGCTGCACAGACTGGTTAAAAATGCATTAACTAGTTGAATAAACTTTAAAGACTCTTCTAAACTTCTCTGAGATTAAGAAAAAGATATTGGCATATATTTTTGCATTGACCAAATAAGAACAGAATGTAGCAAATAAAATGACCTCAGGCACCATTATAAAATGACCTCAGGCAGTATGATAAAAACAAAAATAAAAAATGAGGAATACTGGTAAAAAAAAAAATAATGAGAATAGTTTAAGAATTCATATAACTTAAGACTCTTGCTACTATGACGCTATATAATGATGCAATTTCTGTTTGTTACTTTAACCCTAGGAGGCACAGTAGAGTAATGGATAATGGCTCAGATTGAGGAATCAGAGAGCCGAGTTCGAATTTCAGTCAAATCCATTACATTCACTTACATGCTAATACCCTTGGAAAAGGTATGAATCCTTTTCTTCTCCCCTCAGCTATGGGTAAATAGCAGGACAGGCTGGGTTCTATAGCCTTGGATGGCAACTGGTCTACCACAGAAAGAAATGGCAACCTACTGCAGGAAAAAATCTGTCTTGTCAGTCATGTATTAAAAGATACATGATCACCTAAGTGTGTATCATGCATGGCACATAACTGATTGACTTTAACTTAGGTGCCTTCATGCAATTGCTAAAAAAAGAGCATAGTCTGATGAAAAAGTCGCCAAATGAAAACAAAATTTTATTGTCTAAATGTTTGTTATTATTAAGAGGAAAGACCAAAGATTTTTTTTAATTATTTTTAAAAATTTTTCCTTCTTTTTAGAACATTCTAAATTTTGATTAAAAAAAAAAACAAAAAAAACCTTGTTTCACTTTTATCACTGGAACTAGTAAAATAACATAAATTTTTAGCACATTTTTTTGTATGACACACATTAATTTGGAAAATCTTGCAAAAATAAAAATAATTGTCAGATGTTAATGAAACTTTCAGAAACTATTCACAGATGATGGAAATTATTATAAATGTTTTCTTTTTTAGTCATGGCAAAAATATTTTTTATATTTATTACTGATAAATTTTAAATTTTAATTCATTTATTTGTTATTTCTTTAATTATTTTAAATTTTTACATTTAAGTTGTTAAAATATTATAAAATTAGTTGAAAGCCACATTCAGTTTTCTAAGTGTCCTTATGAGATAGATCATTTTTACCGCATTGTAAATTGTATCACTTTGACCAATCAGAAGATCCGCAGTAATTAAGAAATGTAATTTTGTATTCATAATACGGCTGTAATTATAAAGTACAGAAGAATATACAACTAAATTGAGTTATTTGAGTTAAGCATTGTTCTCCACTGTTAAGGCCTTTATTTTGCCAAAACATGTGGAGAAGTTAATTTGATTTTTCAATTTCAACTGAGAAGGGTACCTACAAGTATTAGTATCATCTTATGAAATTTATATGATCTTATTTTTATATTAATCTCAGTTATGACATTTTTCTATAAATGAAATATCAAAAATAATAATAAAATGAATGGAAATACAAATAACACAGTAAAATGTAATAAATGTACATAAAATACTATAATTTTATGTACACTTCTGATAAAATTTCACAAGAAAGGTACTTTATGAAATTTAATCTCACTCTCAACAGTCTTATCTTAATTTTTTTATAATATATTTTCCATAAAGCAACGTAAAGGTGAAAGATAAGTACAAAAAAAATTAG